TTAGAATTTCTCAAAAACTGGTTTTGCAGAAAACCGAGACTTCCAGAGTCATGGGCAAAAATCCTTTTAAGCTTTTACCAGCTCGATGTGCTCTATAAAACGAGGTACGAATGAAGGAAATCGGAATTGGGCACCTGGGGCGGTTCCCTCGTAAAGAAGGAAAAAAAACACTGGAAGTTGTCCTTGCCCTTTTCTTATCTAATTCAATAAGAATCTAATAAGATTCTTATACGAGTCATATGGGATTCCTATAAGTTCCTTATCACGTTCTTTTGTAAGAATCGATCGCTTTAGGTTTTACTTGTGCGAAACGCATCGTTCATGACAGTGTCTATGTGGAAAACAAAGAAAATCATTGTAAATATCTCACTTCCAGGTAGCATGACTAAATGTCCCTCGTGGTTGACAGAAAAATGGACAACTGTTTACATTGAAACATTTTTACATCGTATACGTGAAGATTATTTGGACACTAAACTTCGTCTTAGTAAAGGAATTAATGAAATAAATTGGTATATGGATCATGCTCGTTATAATGTGGACCCGACGTATCTTATCAAAGCTCACACAGCAGAAACTGACTACTATAAGCTGCTGAATGAACACTTGGCTTCTGTGAAGGGGACGGAGGCTGACTGGTCAGATCGAGGAAAGTGGTATATTGTACGAATAATGTGTACTCATCCGGCGCTTGATAGATTCTCCTTCACTGGAATGAGTTATCAACGTGGAACCTTCACCGAAAATCAGTTTACTGTTGGTTCTCTAATAATGAACAAGGTATTTTTGTCAACGTCAAAAGATCGCCAGGTGTTGGAACAAGCTGCGGCAGATGAACAGTCAGCGATGTACATCTTCGAAATTCGAAAACATGGCTCTGCTATGGATATTGAATCAATATCCGAATATCCGCAGGAGAAGGAAATATTAATCCATCCATTTTGTGTCTTCAAAGTGGTGAGCATCAAGTGCAATTCGATACATAATGAAGTCGAAATCGAACTTCGACAAAATAAAGCAGATAAAAATTGCTGTATACAGTGATTAATATAGGCGCAAAGTGTGAGAAAAAGGCTGATTGTATTCAGTTTCCTATCCTTTGCAATAAACTAATGTATTTCTGACTAATTAATAACGGTAACGGAAGAATGCAGCGGTAACATTTATCCATAGTGCAAGGGTGCATATCAACGGAAAATAAACGTTGCATTTGAGACAATGTTCAACAGAAGGGATTGAGCTTTTTTCAACTTTTTACTTGTTTGTGAGTTCTAATATTTAATTTTTTTGGCACTTCATCTAAGTTTAGATTACTGAGATGCATATTGTACAAATAGAACACTTAATTACTCATCATTAATTCTATGACGTTTAGTAGAACAATATTATAGCAGATAGAAGATATTGGAATTACAATGGTTAAAATTAGGCATTTTGTTTTGTGAAGATTGCTCGCGCGCTTGATAGATAGGTCGAATTGATCTGAGAATCGCAGTAGAACAACAGCAGCTGCACAAAATGCCATTTGCAATTGAATACAATATAAACACACATCAGTCGACTCACGAGGGAAGTACCCCAACTGATA